GATTCCTTTAAAGTTATCCTTGGCCTTCAATCGACTTAATTTGACCGATATTTGATCTCAAATTTTCATACGATTTTATTGATCAGCCAAAATCGGTAACAACAACTAAATCCCTAGACTTATTTGCGTTGATAAGGACTCTAAATACATACAACTCTGCAAGACAAGTCAATTTCGAAGATGGACACTTAACTAATTGTTAAAGTGAACCTTTAAACTTCGAATAATTGATAAATTTACTTACCTACGAATGCAATTTAAGTTTAAATTGAACTACAGAACCTCATGCCCGATTAATACCTATTTGAATGTTGATTATCCTCTTGATGAGACCATTTACGGCAATTGAACAAATTATTTATGAATTTTCACAGTTCCAACACATTTGTCGTTTCCAGTCAATGGAATTGGATCTTCGGTGGGCACCCGGAAATAATGGTTATTCTTCCTGTGTCTTAATGAGTCTTTTAGGTATTTGACTGTTCTATATTCACTTATTAAGAGGGTATAATTCAAATGCTTCAATTTCCTGTAAATATATGTCCGTAAAAGTTCTTTTCCAAGACAAAGACTGTTTAATATTAGTAAAAAAAAGAGATTTATTGGAAGATAACACGGTACATATAGGTAGTTGCAAAACATTGCTAGTATGGGCACACATAAAATTCCTACAGTTAAGCAAAAAGAAATATGTACCTATATGAATTATCTAGGCCTTTTACTTATAAAATAGGTAAGTAAAATAGAACTGCTGGTGCCATCTTCTGACGGTAGCTGGTAAACTATGTGAATAAGTCGAAGGAAAACAGTGGATTCTTTAATACAATTATTCCTATAAATTCATGTGAAATAGACCATACGAAATGAATCGACTGAATAAATGCGGGTAGGTACCTACATATATAACAAGAAAAAGTTTCTATCTGGATTGTTTGAGAACACTATTATTTCTCCAAAGTAATATCAACAGATCAGCTGTAAAGGGAATACATGCATATTTAGTTTCTTTATCTGGATTTAGAACCATAATGCTCCTTCAAAAATTTTAAGAGAATATAAACAATATAAAAACATCAAATTTAAACATATTAGAAAAAGTTTCTTCTTCTATTTGGATGCAGATTCAAACATTTTTCTTTTGATCATTCAGTATGCTTTCTTTTTAAGAGATATCTATTAAATTTGTTATTATAAGACTGCAGCAACTGTGATGTGCATAAATTTAACAAAATAATTTTCTCAGATAATACAAAAGCCTTTTTAAGATATTTGAATCTGGGACCAATAATGAATTGCATCTAAAATGTCGTTGCAATAAAGGAAAACCTAACAATTTGTACGACCTCTAAGGACAAAAATATTAAACAAAGTACTATCAATGAGGCAGGTAACAGGGGATTATAAAAAATTACATTTTAAAATAAGATAATTTAAAGAATTGTTTATTAAATTTTACAGCAGTTTCATGGCAATCTTGACTATGTAGTTACAGGATTACCAAATAAATAAACCAAAATATTGTGGCAAACTATCAAAGCAAATATATGAAATGTATTATTGTAATCAGAAAAAAGAGAGCAATAAAAAAAAATAACAAATAAAAAGTGATTAAAAAAATTAAAGTTTGGTTTATGTTTTTGAAATGCAACAGTCAATAATTTTTTTTTATAACATACCTATTGCTTTAAAATCGCAAGAAAAATTATTCTTGATGCTAAAAAAATTATAATAGAGGTGGAATGTTATTTGAATGACCCTGTAGATGTTTTGAAATTTATTTTCTTTTTAATTTCCCTTGAAAGATAAATATTCTTATATTGTTATTGTTTCACTTTCACAAAAAGAATAGGCAAATTCTCAGAAACCAACACAAGCACACAGCGTAGGTTAAAATTTAATTATTCTTTCGTTACATAATATAAATATCTGTTTGTTATTGTTTTTATTATTTTCAAGACTGTTATACTGATTGTGAGTCTTCGTTAGCGTCGTGTTCCTCAATTCATTATCATTATTTATTTTTTGCTCACTAATTTGGGAATAACTTAATAAAAAAAATACATACAAAATAAATACCTACTTTTGTTAGAAATTTCAAACTTGTACTATATTCATCAATTTTTTGTGCTGAATTCATTTATGTAAAGAAAACTATAGCATTTCATTTACAATTTTTGAGGAAAATTCATAAAACGGCATACTTTTGAAATAACGCCATCTATATAGGTTAGGTTTCCATATTGAGGCAAATGACATTACGCATTCACCGCGAGATAAAGCATGAAAAGACCTTTCCAACAAGGTATAACACTATATATGGGCTTTTGATGAGCCAATCCTTAAAAAAATGTATTTCTCTGGTCAGACATTAGGGGCTTCCCCCACCCTTTCTGTCCAGAGATAGAACAAAATGTCAACAAAAGTTATGCGCAATGAATCCATATTTGTACTATTTACCTAATATACCTGAATAGGAAACATTTCTGAGAAGAATTCAGCTCTCTGTTTTGCTATGTAGATTGCGCCCCCCTCTAGCGGCCGAGCTACGAACTGCAAAACTGTTTCCATTGATTTTTCTTGGTCGATTTATTTATTAATAAAAATTTTTTTCCCGAAGCTCTAGGGCCTATACTTTCTCTAATATCGTATCTCGCCGACCTTAGTGGGTCACCCCGTATAGAAAGCAAAGAAAATAAAGAGATATCATTACACAAACAATTGAGTTTTTGAAATAAATTACTAATCAAGTTATTGCTTTTGATGCATAGTTAAAATGTTTTCATTTATTTGTGACACCCTGTAAAAATTGTTTAAGATGTTCCTCTCAATAGAATAATAATTAGGTATTTTTCTATAATTCTTTATTGTGAAATTAATTTGGATGGAATAGAGTAGGGTGGCACAAAAAAAATGAATATTTTTTTTTTCGTCTCTTGTGAAAATTTGTTAGTTTATCATGTTTTAAGAGTCCCCTCAAAAAATCAGCCCAAAAAAAAATTATTTTTGAGGTTGCTCAAGATTTTTAAAAATTTTCAAAATCGTCAAAAATTGAATTTTTTTTATAAATTTTTTTTCTCGTTAGTTTATCATTTTCTAGGTTGAAAAAAATCTCGATTTTGAAAAGGACCCCGCTCAAAATATATGGAAAATGGTTTTCGGTAAATCTTGCTGAAATTTTGCAGAGGTAGGTTTCAGCTTGCCGAACAAGACTCAATAACACCAAGATCAAAAAACCTCACCCAAGGCCACTGTGCGGTTTAAAATATACGAAAAAAGTTATTTCGTTGATTTATCCACAATAAAACACCCAAAGCAGTCTGGTCCTTATAGGGGTTTTGGGATCGCTGATTACGATGAATAGGTCAGTTAAGCTCCATCACATCAGTTTCAAGGTCATTTGAAAATCAAATTTAAGTGTCTCGTGATTTATTTCTATTCTTTTGTCCATCAAATTCAATAAAAAAATTATTAGTTCATTGATATTTAGTTTTACGTCGCTCGAAAACATTTTAGGTACACTATACTTTGAAAGTTAATATAATTATGAATGACCTTTAGAAGTTAAAATATCGATTTGAAATTTTCAGAATCGAGATTTTTTTTAACCTAGAAAATGATAAAATAACGAGAAAAAAATTTTTTAAAAAAAATTCAATTTCTGACAATTTTGGAAATTTTTAAAAATGTTGAGCGACCTCTAAAAAAAATTTTTCTGAGCTGATTTCTTGAGGGGGCTCTTAAAACATGATAAACTAACATATTTTCACAAGAGACACGAAAAAAAATATATTCATTTTTTTTTGGGCAGCCTAATGTAGAGGCAATTTTTTTGTTGTACTGTCCTTTTTTTAATTCACTTTTGGGATGGGTAACTATTGTGGTTGGGTAAATTTGGTTAACACCATCATTAAGAAGACAAATCCGAGAAATATTTGAATTATTTGCAATACTGCTATTTTGCATACATTATTTGTACTTATTTGATTGAAACGGAAGCAAATTATATTTCAAATTAAACATCACATTATAATTCGAGGTTATTCACTTGTTTTTTTTTACTTAAATGTTATTATACAATCTTATTAATAACTTCTTAAGTGGGACAATTGATAAATATCGGTTTGGTAAACAATAATTAATTTTCTATAAAAACTGACACGACGGATTCCAAATTAGAGCAAATTTATCTTAATTTGTGATATCCAGGCCTCCTCTGACCACAATTTTATTCCCTAAATTTTGAATTCAAAATTTTACTAAACATTTATCACAAATTTCTATATTTGAGTTAATAACTTCGATATCCTTATACACTATCCAACTGGGTTCCTCAATGAACTAAAACAAAGCTTACAATTTAATACAAATTTATTTAAGTATTTTCCACGTAAGCACCATCGATTCAGGAATAGCATTCTATTTTTAACCGATACTCATAAAATTATTAGTAATTTTAATACAATGGCACAGTTTATACGTAAGTGAAGAAGACCTAACATGCCTTTTTAAATGTATTAGTAAACTTAGTAGAAAATGTAGAAATATTACAACTAAAAATATATTACACATAAAAAAATAAATAAACTATTTTAAAAACGGAAAACACCGTTTACAAATCTAGAAAACATTTTCACAAATTAATATTTGGTCTATATTATACGTAGATGAAAGCAAAAAGGTTTCATATCTGTTACACAAAACCAATATCAATATTTTTGAGATTCTTCTAACAATGAGCATTTTTAAAGTATTGCTAGGGATTTGCACTGAAAAATTTTAAAATAAATCATATTAAAGCAAACTGATTCTCTTAAATTATAAATAAATTTGTCCAAATAATTACAAAATAAATGTTCTTTATCAGTCTTCTACGAAAAGCCATGATGATTACTTTAAGCCATTTCTTATAGAGGGTATAGCAAAAGTACCGGAACGGCAGAATAACTCAGTGGGAGAGCATTTTAGAGAAAAATGTTAAATGTAAAAGTTTCAGGATTTCTCCCTGGCTATCTGATGGTGACCTTGACATTGACCTTGAGGATCATTTCAAGGTCAAATATTATTTTTCAAATGGGACCCTATACTTTTGACCCAAGAAATGAAGAGAAATTTTACGTTCAGATATGACCTTGAGTGACCCCTCCCTTTTGACCTTGGGGCCCCCACAAGGTCTAACTAATAAAAGTATAGGAACGGCAGAATTTAGGATTTCTCCCTGGCTATCCGATGGTGACCTTGACCTTGAATTGGTGGTGGGGAACCAGTGGTTATAGTCAGTCTAAGGAGGTGTTAGGATCCACACCAAACAAGGAGTGGTTTTTCCCTTTTCATTTCCAAGGTAAAAATTATAGGATCCCATTTGAAAAATCACATTTGACCTTGAAATGATTTTCAAGGTCAAGGTCAATGCCAAGGTCGGATAGCCAGGGAGAAATCTGGAAACTTATGCTCTCCCGCCGAGTTATTCTGCCGTTCCGGTACTTTTGCTATAACCTGTATTAACTTTAAGAAAAACTCCATTTTGGCAGGCAGTGAAAGCTAAATATACAGGGTGCAACACAAAGCGTCAAAAATTGAGGAGTGTTTTTCAAATTTATATTCAAGAACATTTTTTTATATAAACATAAAAGGTTCTGAAATTTTCAAAAAACAAATGAACATCTAAATATCTTCTGAAAAAATTAAATTTTCTGCGCAGTCTTAGCATAAACCTGTGACCTAGAAATTAATATGCAAATTTTATTTTGAATGAAAATGAAACTTTTACCATTTTGGTACAAATTAGTATTTTATTTGGACAAAAACACTCCATTTTTGACTTGTGCAACATTCTGTATAATACATAAAAAGAAATTAAAGCTAAAATTTTATAAAATAAAACTAATATTAATTTCAAATATTGAAACCATTTTATGAAAACATTAAATCACAACAATATTAAACCGAAAAGTTATCTCAAGTTAGTTCATTTTTAACGCAGGAAAAATATTCAATGTAACGGAAGTACAGAAAAAGTATTAAAAGGAATGTTAAGAGAGCAAAATTCAATATTTTAAAAGTTAAATCACAAAGTACGGAGTATTTGACTGAATACTGCACTAGCGTAGAGATTCTGACATATTGACCATTACAACAGCCACATGAAACCTTTTTACGAGTTACCGAAAATTTAAAACTCGTCGTGCCTAGCAAGCGCCTCGCCAAAATCTGTGGCTTGGGAACCCACGAATAAGTCGTACTTCTTCAGCACTTCATCTTTCGTTAACTGCTCGTCAGCATCCGAATCAGCTTCGTAAATTAAATGTCTGGCTTCAGCCTCGGCGTGATCGAAATCTTCTGGCAAGATCCAGTTTTTAACTTCTTCCTCATCCATGAAGCCATCTCCGTCCTTATCACGGTACGTGCTGAACTGTTCCTTCTCACTCTTCACCCAGTCAGGTTCCTCTTCAGGTTCATCGCCTCGGTACATGTCTCCAATGTATTCTTGCAGAGATATCTTTCCATCTTTATCTTTGTCGATGTCTTCCATAGTTTCAACGATAACCATGCCCCTCATGTAGTCTGTTTCTTCGGGGTGTAAAAAACCTGCGAATTCTTCTTTAGTCAGGTTATCGTCTCCGTCTCTGTCTGCGCTTGCCCATCGTCTCCTGTCTCGTTTTAACATATTCCTGTAAGAAAACCCTTCGTTATCTTTTTCAGATTCGGCTGGGTCCATGTTCTCTAGGAAGCCATAAACGAGTTTTTGATAGTTTTCCCAAGATATGGTGGGGTTGTTTTCGGGGTTCTGCTGCCTCCACTGGCGATCGACATCTTCACTGATGTAGCGTTTCTGCGTAAATCGAATCCAATCCTTGAGTTCCTCTCTAGATATGATACTGTCATTATTGGTGTCTATTTTGTCAAAAATTATTCTGGAAAACAAAAATGTATGTTAATTAGGTCTCAAACTGAAATAAAATTTAATAAAAATATTTTTTATCCTTAATTCACTAAAAAGAAATTAGTTTCGGAATAATACAATTTTTATAGAAGTAAATGTTTCATAAAATAGTAGAATTGAACCATCAGCTGATACAAGAAAAAGTAGAGGACGTCAACGACTTTTAACTGTCAAGAGAGTTTATAGAATTAATAACTAATAAAAAACATATTTTTTCTACATTCATTGCCTTCTATTTTGAAAAAAAAAAAAAATGCCTAAAATACTGCTAACTAGTTTACATCACACGATCTGTAGTTAACTGTTTGACCTACTTTTTTTGTAACACTCTGTAAAAGTATTTGCTACATGAAAGTTTAGTTACAGATACAAGCGAGCTAAATGAATTGAAATAAACACTAATGTAAAGTTTTTGAAAGGACTATGCAAAATCATTCCAAAGTGCAGCCGATTTTTTTCTACCATTAATGATATTAATGAAAATAATGCGCTTACCCAAGCCTCCTTTTACTTTCCTCTGGGGGCAACTGGTCAAATGTCTTGGCCTCTTCTCCAAGAAACGCTTCATGATCGTACTCCGGATTATGATGCTCATTTTCAAAATGTTCTTTATCACTCAATTCTCTATTAAACACTCTATCATTATGTGTTTCCTCTTTTGGTAGAGCTACTCCAAAAGTAGTCACCAATAATGCAATAACTAGCCTTATAATCATGTTTTCACTCTCTTGATTTGACTGCCTAAACAGAAATATGAATTAATTCATTAATTTTAAATAGAGCAGTCGAAATGCGTGGTAAGCGTTTATTGGCTACACAGGATTGTTTCAAAATGCTCCAACTCATCACACAGATGCACTCATATCAAATAACACCCACCACTCTTTTACTGGTAAAGTCGTTAAATTGAGAGAATTTAACCTCAAACAAATATTTGATGCTCAGTACATATTTTCCGAACAAATATTTACTAATAACAATGTCTTATACTTACAGTATTTTAAAATATATAAAAATAGTTAAATATCACACAGGATAAGTAAACAAACAAGTAAACAATTCCGTCACTTTTGACTTCTTTCTAATAAAGCTGTGCCAGTGTTGCCACATGCTAATTTCCAAATATATTCAGGAAGTGCCAGTAATGCACATTAAAATTAATTACAATCTATGAATCTATCAGTAAAACATTTTAATTTTAATTAATCCTTTTTCTTAAATTGTGTGCTCTTAATCTACTTATTCAGTTATGTATCTCAAAATAAAACAAAATGAAAAGTTTTCTTTTTAACCTTGGTTGGATAGGTATCCTTCTAAAGAAATTTTCTGGAGTTTGAGTACAAGTCAAGATTTTTAATAATTCTTCGAAAATTATCGACATTCCATTCATGAATCATTATGCAATTATCTGCAAAATTCTGCACATTGCATAAAATTATGCACATCTGGCAACACTGAGCTGCATAAGTAATGGTAATGCTGTGTCGATTCGATCCTACAGCATCAGTAGACCACATACTTCTATCCTAGGATAGAAGTATGTGCAGTAGACAAATGTTATATTCTGTAGTTTGTAGTTTCCCATGTAACTACATTGCTAGTGATTTGAGACAGAACCGGCTTTAGAAATATTTATATTACAGGTCGCCTAATGGGTAATTGGTGATTATTATTATTTACTAGATTAAAGAATAAGTAACATTAATCTCAATTACATTTTAAGAAATATTTGAAAACTAAAGAACTGCCTTGTAAATAATTAGAATACCTTACAAGGTGTTTGTAATGACTACAACTTAAAATTTTATTTCAGTTGATTTTCTTTATCTTCACAGGTACGTTAGTTTTAGTTAGTTATTATATAAGAGGATAGAGAAGCAACTCCCAACGAAAAGACAACATTTATTTAATGTTTATCTAATATATACAGGTTATAACATACAAAAAAATATGTTCACATTATAATCATAGGTACGAGTATAGTTCAAATTAGATGCGATAAAAATTTTTAATATACAAGTCTTAAATTAATATAAAAATATATAACATCAACATAACGGCAAAGATATGTATATAAAAAGCCTATAGATATTAATATTTGTTAAATTTATTTTAGAAATAGTTGTTTTTCATATCACAATACTAACTTAAAGTAGGAATTTCCTTTGTATTGATTTTATACAAATTATACAATTTAATCACAAATGTGTTTTATATACAAGATCTAACAAGAGATAAACTGAAGCAATGAGACATGTATGATTCACAAAATATGTTCTACAAAAAAAAACAAAATCTAAATCTACCCCGTCTTTAGAGTTAACAAATATCATAGATAAAAGAACTGTTGAACAGGCATCGTGTTAAGAATTTGAATTGTGACAAATACATAATATAATAAAAACAATGTCTCTTTTGAAAATCTTAATATACACAACTGAAATTTACATATTGGAAAATTATCAACACCTGAGGGATGCATCAGCAGGCCACGAATATAGTATACATGGGTAATTATGTCAAACAAATGAATTGGATTCAGTACCTACACCTACTGCAATTAACATTTTAAATTTTTATTTTTTACACAATAAAAATAGAATAAAAAAAAGTTATAAACAACTGATTATTCCTCAATATGCATATACGAATTTCAATGTAGTTGCCTTACAATTCATGGTACCTAATATTTTAGTAGTGGTGGACGAGAATAACGAAAATATTTATTTCAATTCATGTACAGGGTGTGTCTGAGTTTGACTGCCAATTTACGGCAAGGTTTCTTGGTCAAAATTATCATTAATTCAAATAGATTATAGAATGAAGAAATAGCAACTTGAAGATGGCCTATTGAAGATCTTTTGTTAATATTTTCTAAACCAATTGAAGTAGGTTCCGGTGCTAAAAGTTGCATGCTCTTAGCTATTGATAACTCATATGAGAGTCTTAAAAAGTGGGTTGTGCAAAACTTATACACTTTTTCTTAGCTCAAGTTAGATTAGATTAGATTGGTCCTTTTGCCGTAAGGTTTCATTTCAATAATTCAAAAAAATAAAGAAAGAAAAAATTATTATTACTTCCTATGTCATACCTTCAAGTAATATTTTGACTGCTGATCAAGGCACACCCTGTTTAGATATTTACATACTGCAAATGACAAAACAATTTTGAATTTTAATACGTATTTATCTTTCTTCACCACTAGCTTGGCACTGCCATCCATATTGTAAATAAATACCGACTAAGAGAAATGTCAATTCATTTGCTTTTCCAGCTTAAAATTAATTCCAAAATACGGCTAAATTTTAAGAATCTACAAATATATTCCCACTTTTAGGCGTACTTTGGTTCGTATACTATGTAAGAACTTATCAATGAATAAATAAGGGGTTGTGAAACAATAAATGTTTTTCGATTTTATACTGTGTCTAAAAGTCACTTTTTTTGGCAAGTGGACTAGCATGGATGAGATCTTCTCACTGTCCTCCACTGTACACTGCACTCGATCGGCCAACGACCAATTATTCGTAGGAGGTAGAAATTATAATTGATATACTTAGCGTTTTAAAAAAAATTGACGAATTCCTTATCTTTTATAAATAATTTGTTCAAAGCACGCTTAGAATAAATATTATTTTATTATTATCAAAATCCTGTCAAGCAATTGATTGAAAAATACACAGAGTGACCTCTAAATCGAATCCTTTACAGGGGATGTTTCATATAAACTGCAAAAATTATTTAGATATATCATCAATTTATAGATAAAATCCTAAGTTTAGGGTTTTACATGTTGATATAAGTTATACTATTTGTTTTTTTCTCGTGTTTTCTTACAAAAAAAAACAGAACAATGTACTACTTTTTAAACTTTGCTCTGTATTTAAAGAAATATGTAGGTATGTCGTGTGGATCATAGTTTTTGAAGAAAACAGAAATACCTACCCAAGAATACACATTAACCTAAATCACGTTTACTAGACATCTAAAAATGTATAAAGCCGTCTTTGAATGAATTTTTATTCTTTTTAAATCACAAAAATATACCCGGCATAAAAAATACTTGTAATGTATAACCTACCTATAGCTGAAAATTCATTGCCATTAGCAAAATGCTTATAAAAATACAAAAAAAGCAAATTTTTAATTGTGATAGTATTAAATTAATATAATATTTGGTAGCTGTCTCGCCTTCATAAAATTACAAAAGATGAGAGTAAAAATTACATGAGTTAACCTCAGAACAAAAATTGCCTTTAATGTATATAATACATATTACATTTATTTTATTATTTGAAGCATATTTTGATTAGTAAGACTTTTATGTTATTCTGCCTAACATCTCCAATTAAGATTGTTGCCTGATTCTTTTATGTACCTAAATTAAATTCCATTATTTCGTGTAATAATAATATAAATGCATTAATTTTGAGCAACTTTTACAATTTGTTATTGTACAAAGAAATATTGCAAACGTATTGCAGTGCATTTATATTAAAGATGTATTAATAAAAATAATAATTAAAGATCAGATGTCAATCAGATCACCCAAAAATCCTTCTACTATTGCATGTATCTTTCTTTACTTTCTCAAAAAGTAAGTAAGTAGGTATCGAAATTTTACAAATCATAGTCCAGTGTTTAAAAAGAATAGTTTTAAAATGTTTTTGTTTCAACTTTGTTAAAAATAAAAAAAAATTAAGAAATTGCAAATGCTAGGGAATGTCAGCTATTCGTAGTGCACAAATAACTAGGGAATTTTAGCGTTTCATTATTACTCCATCTATACTAAAATTCATTTTTCTACTTGAAATCATTTTTAAGAAGAACCCTCCGTATAAAGTGATTTTCTTCGAGCTCACCCTGTAGAGTTATTAGCTGCTCTTGAAGTTGAGAGTTGAAAATCGATTTTTCATCATAACATTTACTTACTCATTAAATTTGGATAATTATATTGTTTTAAGCTATTTCTATTAATTTGCTTTAATGCATAAGGGTCGTATGACACTGCTAAAATTATAATTAATTTCAGTAGTTAACTAAGAAGTTAACAAACTCATTCTTAAATGTGCTTATTTCGAAAGCCTTTCTTTTTATGAATAACAAACTAGTATATCTTTTTCATTTAAAAAAATACGAAAATATTAAAAATTGCTACATAAATTAAAATGATGAAGTCTATTTCAGTTTTTCCCAAAGTAGCAAATTGATCTAATACTAGCAGTAGCTGAAAACAATATAGTCTTTATCGAAGAATTATCCAAAATTAATGAAAAACAAAAAGAAAAATGGATATTCAACTTCAAGGGTGAATACAAAAAAAAAAATTGTATAATATTATTTTAAAGTATAAGAAGTACTGTTACTGAATCTGCAAAATGGAAGATAAACATTGTTTATACTTTAATATGTTTAAATACAATAAATATACAGGGTGAGTCAGTTTTTTGTAGACAAACTTTAACAGGAGATAGAACACATGTTTTTAAAAAGAAAAATTTCTATAAACATATGTCGTAGAAGGCTTCGTTTCCGAGATACAGGGTGTTGAATATAATTTTTTTTTCTCGAATTTTCATTATAACAAATGCTTAGATTTTTTTCATGTTTGGGAGATAATGCCTATTAATTAAGGGGCATAAAACAAGCGATAAGAATGTTCAAAAACTTGCACAGTGGCGGAGTGGAGAGGGTGCTCAACCTTTTTCTTAATCAGAACTTCTACGCCAATGATTAACAAACACTAAAAATCAAAATAACTCGGAAACGCACAGGAATTTCGAAACAGAAGAAGGGACATTATTTTTGTTAAACTGCATGTAGATAATGAAAATAACAATTTTTTTTTTAAATAGTCATTGGCGTAGAAGTTCTGTTTAAGAAAGGGGTTGAGCACCACCTCCACTCCGCCACTGTGCAAGTTTTTGAACATTCTTATCGCTTGTTTTATGCCTTTTAATTAATAGGCGTTATCTCCCAAACATGAAAAAAATTTAAGCATTCGTTTATAAGTTATAATGAAAATTCGAGAAAAAAAATTATATTCAACACCCTGTATCTCGGAAACGAAGCCTTCTACGAGATATGTTTATAGGAACTTTTCTTTTTAAAAACATGTGTTCTATCTCCTGTTAAAGTTTGCCTACAAAAAATTGACTCACCCTGGATAGTGGCAATACCAATTGTTAAAGTAAGGAATTCGTTTTTTTAAACCACTAGGTATAAGCAAGCAACAATTTAATTAAATATGCGTACCAATAAATAGCTGAAGTAGTGATTTGAATACTCAAAATATACGTACACGTACCTATTTCACTTATGGTTGCACTGACAATTTTAGTTATCTCAGTGAAATATTCAATGCCTTTTTAAGTTTTAAACTAGGTAAATTTAACACAATTTTTTACTGCATTTGTTCCATATTATCACAACAAGGAAAGTTTAATTCTTTTACAAAAAAAAACAATGGCCAAAGTAGCTTTAAAATTCAGAAACAAACATTTCATCGAATACCATCTAATTTTGGAGTCACCAATTACACATTAACGTTAAATTGATAATTAAGTAAGTTGTTTTTCTTTAATTTATCCCTATGGCTTCATAAGTTTCAATTTTGTTTCTTTTTATGCGAATTAGTTCAGTGTTGCCAACTTTGGATTAGCAATAAATACCAACTGGTACAAAAAAAAAATACCAATATACTAAAACCTATTATGTATTTAATTTACAATTAGAAAAATATTGGAACCAGAGTTTTAATTTGAACTGCTATGGAGATACTACAAAATACTAAGAAAAAATTATCAAAATTAAACTGAAAAAGCAAATAGGTTTCAAGTTGCGTTGCGTGTTGCATATTAATGAATGGAATATGTTGGCAACACTGAATTAGTTATTTGTCGTTTCAAAAAATACATCAGCTATCATCAACCATCGCATTTACAAGTATCATAACTTATAAAAATTTAGATGAACTATCTGCAATCGTTTGTTAAGAGCTGCTTAACCTCCCGCGGTTTTTCATCTTCTGCGTGGGTCGGCCTCTGGCAGCGATGGGTTGTCGTCACTGGTGGGGCAGCGTCTCGAAGGTCTCCGAGTCCGGACTCCCGTACCCGCTGGAGCCGTCGTCCCGGTGGTTGACTACGCTAATGGGCTGCCGCAGTGGGCCTTGGGGCGCCATGTCCGAATTCTTCTCGCTGTAACAGGACGGGCTGTTCACAATTCTACCCTCACCGACTGCGGTTAGGTTGTCTCCTGCCTGCTGAAAGAGATCAACCAACCTCATTTCAGATTGACTTTCGTCTTTATGTAAAATAGTATGGGATTATTAGGTTTTCTTTAATGATTTTGGTCTCTTATCGTATAAATAGGTAGCTGCTTATAAATCATCAATAATAGCGTAATCGAACACCCTACAGTCTCTTGCGGTTGATTTAAAGTAAAAAAAAACAAAAGAGCATAGACATCATACACCTGTAAAAATAAATTGGTTTGAATTAAAGTTCATTTGAGCTTTACCTACTTGGTACATGGACGACGGCAAGTTTTCCATAGAGGTAATGATAAAACAAAGAAACACATTACTAAAATTACTAGAATTTGGCACAAAAACTGATTTCTTGCCTTTGATAACACAGACCCACAAAAAAGCGGTTTGTATTGGAAACTAAACCACCTTTAAAAGTATTTTGAACGAATGCACATATGAATCTGTGTGTTTTTACTGATGCGTCCTGATTTTCCCTTAACCTCAAAAACTTAGCTGTAAATCGCGATGAAATAGCTTGTTTTGGGTTAAAAACATGGTGACAAGTTTGGAATGGACCTAAAAATCTTGCTTTTGTTTGCTTCAAATCTTCAACTATCAATAGCACTTTTTGCATGTGTTCTTTACTCTTACAATTACATAAGAAGCTTTCAATAACCCATTGAAACATAAAGTCAAAGTGCTCATTCTTTATTAAGTCATTTTTGAAACATCGTCAGTTTCGCATATGGGTGATCTGTGGGAATTTATTCAAAGCATTTTCCGTCTTCATGCAGAACATTCACAAATTGCTTTATAATTTCAAGTTAAACAAGTTAGAAGCATTACCTAGGGTCCACCACTGGTTCTCCAATGATGTTACCTATAACTCATTTTTGACTTTTATAGTGATAGACATGATCCCAATTGTATTATAAGGTGTTTTAATGAATTCTGATTGTAGTTCCAAAGTCACCTTCTTGAATGAAGAAAGAAAATCGTTCTTATAGATAATCGATGTAAAATTCATAGACCACAAATTAGAACAAAGCCGGAGCTATATTTCAACAATGACTCACAGGAAGGATAGACAGCATAGCTTTAGCTTTCAGCTGTTGTTGAAAATTTCTTATGTATGTCACAAGAGTATAGACTCTAAAGAAGTAGAATCTGGTATGAACCAAAATTTCGCAGAATGGGAGGCTTGATGGACTTGCATTTCCAAATATTAAAGAAATGGAGCATATACCATTAAGTACATGATGACCAACTACTGTTAGACTGTAAAAAAGGAGGATCATGGGAGATAAGTACAACGCATTTCAGTTTGATCATAGTGAGTCAAAAAATATTAACGTATAACCTCTTCAAACGTACTGACGTCCCATATTATTCTTCATTAAAGGAAAATGATTGTTTTTAAGTGGTTTTTCTTATTTCCTAAATTAAAATCAGTGCTGAAAAAACGCCGTTTTCAGACTATTGATGACATCATAGCAATTTCGTCACAAATTTTAAGGGCCATTTCAAATTAAGCTATCCAGGACTGTTTCGGGAAATGGAAATACCACTAGGAAACGTGTGTGAATAAGGGAGGTGAGTAGGTACTTTGAAGGAGACCAAGGACTAATAATGCATACAATTAATAATAAAGTTAAAAAAAATAAAGTTGGGTTACTTTCCGAACAGACTTCGCATAAGCTCTGGATACTCTTCATTGAAATATGATACGAGGATTATGAGCCTTATACATTTTTTATTAGTGTTGACCTATTTTTTATTTTTTACCACTGTATCAAAAGAATTCAAAATATATATTTATCGGTTGTGCAAATTTTCGCACAAACAATGCACTTTATGCGGTAATAAAAGTTGTTTGCCATTGCTGGGCATAATCGTGAAAGACGATTACATTTAATTGGCAATTAGGAGAAAGCAAAAGTTAATGTGAAGTTTTAAATACTCCCGTGCCCTCGTACGGTCATAAAGTAATATTTGTTATATTTTAAAAGCCCGTATAAGGCTAAGAGCTTCATTCAGCTGCTTTTAGCTTTCAAACAAACCACTTTACTGAAACTGAAAACATCGCTCGAGTCCATTTACTCAAAAGCATTTAATGATTCGCATTTATCGTTACAATGGCTTAATTTTTTAGTATGACTTTTGATTTATGCATTCTTTTAAAATGGATTTTAAAAGCTGCTTTTCAGCGGAAGCTGCTGCCGAGAATTACGTCACACGTTGAATATAATATGATAATTTTCCGTGATTTCTTTTATTTTTATTTTGAACAAAATACAAAAAAATCAGCAATTCCTACATTTTACTCAGACAAGTTGAGATAAGTTGGACTATTTCAAAATTGCAGTATGTACAGAAAGTAACACAACGTGTCAAAAATGAAGGAGCATTTATCTCAAAAACGTTGAACGATTAAAATGAAATTTGGTATGTGAAAATATACTGTAAAAGGCAATTAATGATAATTACCGACTTGCACAAATGCCTTTTTAACTGGATACCTCAGTAAATATTCTTATTTTTTTCGTGTAGGTATTATCTTATTGTCACAATTTTTTCATTATCATTATGTTTTTCTGGTGAAAGCTAAAAGTTTTTTAAATAAATTCTGTGTTTTTCAAAATTTTGATAACTACATCAAACTGGAAATCTAGTTTGTTGCATCTTAAAAGTAATCTAGTATTCCGTCACCCCTATCAGTCCAACTTTCTCGAACTTATGCTAACATGTGTCTTAGTAATTCTGTATTTACGCAAAAATAGGGAATAACAACGTCCAACATTTTGGTAGAGCCGATCATACCTGTAAGTTACTGACTTGCCTTCTGATATGGGCTAAACTGCTAGGATTGTATGCCATATTCGCAAAAACTAGTCTTTCCTCATAGTCGTATTCACAAAGTATTTTATTTTCACAAAGGTAGAACCTGTCACCAACACAGAACCTGCAAGCAAGAAAATGATTATTATTGCAATATATTTTTTATACTGGGAAGCACCTTCATTACTAATTAAATCTAATTATATATTAAAAAATATTGCCTATTACCAGAATTATGTGAAATTATAGAAAAATGTATAGTTACAAATAAATATTTTACATTGTCATAGCTATTGATTAAAAACTGGTAATCATCTTACCTGTGATTACATTGGTGACATGCAAAACATTCTAAGTGGTAAACATTATTTTTTGCCCTCATTACCATCTCAAAGGCAGGGATGACTTTGTTACAAGCTGCACAATATCCTGTTGTACCAAACAATCTGGAAGAAATTTTTTTCGTAATTTAAATTTCCATTTTAATATATCTTCAGAGAAACAATAATANAGTTACAGGAAAAAAATTGACTTTGTAAGTTACTCAGTGGCGCGCGTACGGATTGTACCATAAGGTTTTTCGAAGAAAATTGTGGTACGCCACTGGTAAAAACATTTTTTTAATATTTTTTTATGATCTACTTTTTATTTTAAACAAAATTACCTTCTTGCGTTTTATTTCTAGTTCTTGTGATTTTTCTGTAAATAAAACTTTTGTAAATACCATTTTTTCCCACTGCTAACAGAGGAATATAAAAATAACAAAAGCATTATGAAGTACGCTTTGACTCAGCCACCGAACATTGTCAAATAGGCATTGAAAAAAGATTTTTGCATTGAAAATGATATTAAAAAACTAAATTTTTTGAATTTTTTTAGCACCCTGTAGCTTGGAAAAGAAAATCCGTAGAGCATAATTTTATATGACAAATATTTATTTTTTAAAATAAAAAATCCACTGTTTAATTTATTCCCAAACTTTATGTTACACATATTTTGAACTTAGACAAATTTATTTTTTGATTTTTCGGAAAATTTAATACACATACACACCACTGCTTTTTTATAAGTTTAATATTTTCAGATTGAGCAATTAAAAATAAAAACGTTTTGTCGCTTGCAATTTTTGTCTATTTCGCTTTTTTCTTGAGAAAAAACAATAAAATATGATTATCCGCTCAAATTTAATTTCATTAATAAAATAATAACAAAATCACAAAAAAATTGTATTAATAATTACTCAATATAAAAATAATATCATAAAAAAACAGGGTAATGTTCACTTAAACTTTTCCTTAAAATATCTAGTTATGATGCCCTAGTGTCGCCCCTGGCATAACTAAATTAAATCTAATAACATCAAACTAAGCTCCCTATTTATCACCAAATACGTGTCAGTTTTATTAAAATCGGCCAAGTAGTTATTGAGATATTTCAAAAAGATTTTTTGTTTAAATCTTTACACCTCGTATCTCGAAAACGAACCTTGTAAGCTGGAAGAAACCTATTTCTTTTTTTTTAAGTAATTAAAAATTGATGTGCTTGCTAATACTTATTTGAAATTTATATTAGTTATATTTTCTAAAATCGAACGGTTGCGAATTCAAACTTTCCGCCGCAATAAACAAAACTAATTACAAAAGTGTCCCCTATTAGATCGTGATAGGGGCTGTTCCTATTCGAAGTCAATTTGGTGTAATGTAATTTTTATAGCACGCTATACCTATAAATTTTATAGCAATCTACACGCGGAAATTGGTGCAGCCCGACAAGGACCTTATAAATATTGGATCCAATAGCTTTCTCTAATCATCTTGCGGTTACTTTGATATTGCCATCCAACTAAATTATTTTCATACAAATTTAATGAGCTTGATGCAATATCGCGCCTCTCCCTCGCTTTATTGGCTCAATTCATTTATTTAAAAGGTGCCACCAATGAAAAATGGAGAATCAGATTTTACGAGACGCTTCCTTCTTTGCGTTATAGCGTCATCGTTAACTTTAGTACTACTGAAATTAAAACTATATTACATTTCTGAATAAATGATGAAATAAGACGATTATTATAATAATGCAGGTATACGATGCAAATAGTATAAACATGTATTAGTTTTGTAAAGAAAGTTCATAGTTTTATCGAGCTCAGTTGGATATTCCTATTTTGCCCAAATCAATTTCGGCTAAAGCACCACCAAAACGTTGTTAAAAGAATTATATTTGAATGAAATTGGAGTTTTTTCTTGATTGCCATGGACTTCCCTAAAATAGTTATGGATAATACCTGTGTAATGTTTTGAGAAAAATATTTATTTATCATACCTACAGTATATTAAAAAAGTGTAGAAAATATACAAATACTGGCTATTTCCTTTTCGTTTCTATACCTACTTGTTCATGTCCTTGGCCCAATACGTCTACGGTTGTTGGTATGCTGATTACAAATATGACTGAGTTTTACTGTAAGTTGAGCCGTTTAGAAATAGAGTGGAAAAGCAGAACTTGCGCACTCTAAGGGAAGAGCGACTCCCGCAAAGGGAATGATATTTTCTGTATATTCTTATAGATTTAGACAAGGCAGGTCCAGAAGAAATTCATGGCTACTGTTGTCAATGTAAGAACGGACTTAGAACGGTAGGATGTTGTGCGCAATTCATGACGTTTATTTGGTATTTAGGACATGAGAATACCAAGAAACAATAAGACTATCCGCCGAAGATTTATCGCTAATGCCAGTTTTGCAAGAGTATTCTGGTGATGATAACTAATAAAAAATACGAAGTATTTGAAAAATTCATGATGAGTAGTGCCAAACTGAGGCCAGATTCAGTTTTGCGGACCAAAATACATGGAAATGCCATGGTTGAGTCCGTTGTGCATGACTTTTTTCATTTGAGGGTCAGAGTAATTTTTGAACTTCAGCACCTTTGAAAACCAATATCTTAGAAACCATCAAATTTTGGAGGTTAGAGCTATTGACTTTTTTGTTTGCTAGACCAAGTACTACAACTTCGTATACTTTTCAAACTTGGACGTTGTAAGCTCAAAGTACTACAGGACTTTGGCACCCTTCTTTATATTATACCTATAATAAGTCCGAATGATTCGAACATGTGATGTTAAAACACTGCGAATATTGTTGCTATTTTACTTACCTAAGGTAATCTCTTTTACAGAGTATAAGGTTCGCCTTGGTATACAGTGTCGACCCGACCTCCCCCAGCCTGCAGTCGCAGCAGCCGCACTTGAGGCAGTCCTCGTGCCAGAAGAGATCCAGGGCCTTGAGAAGGAACCTTTCGACGATGCGTTTCCCACAACCAGCGCACTCTCTGAGTCCTGCTCCCGCCGATAGACTGTTGGGGGTGCTGGACACAGATACTGGAGTCGCTCCGGATACTGACAACGACGTTCTGGCGGTCGATGCTTGATCCCCTCCGGATTCTGGAATCAAAATTGGGGGTTACTTTTTTCGCAAAAAGGAAATAACCAATTAGCTGTTATGGAAAAGAAGATTACAGATCAGTCCTGCATATTTGTTATATACTCTTGCAATTTTCTGTCAGAATGAACTTATGTGTTCAAAAATTGGGAGCAAAGGGCTCAAATAAATTATCTCCGAAGTATGAGAACCAATCAAATGTGAATTGGAATTTTTATATAACAGCACATTTCTATTATGTGGGCTTCTCAATCTCAATCTCCATCATAAGTATCACGATTACTGGTAAAAAGATAATTTTGGGTAGTTTACTGTAAGAAAATCATAAATTTGACATTGTCGTTTTCATTTCTAGAGAGAAAAATATTTCTTCCATATATGTCGTGGTAAAATACTTAAAATTATGTATTCTTTTCACGTTTAAAATGTACAAAATTTTCAACCAAAGGATCATGCCAGAAGATTGGAATTTTGTGAACAGATCAACGCTAATCGTCAGCTAGTTCCAATTATACTTTTACTGACGAAACTGATAAATTAGCACTCTAATACCTAATTTGCATGCATCATCATTTTTAGATGAGTTTTTAACGGAAACGGCTGCTCCTATAGACTTCAGTAAGGTTTACATTTCTTAAGTAGAAAAAATAGTGGAAAATGTTTTTCTATTCCGAAATGACATACACCGTGGCACGAAAAAGTTGAAGCGATTTAAAAGGATCCTAATGGTCACTTGTGGCGCCCTCTGGGAGATACAGCCAATCGTCCATAAAATTTGAATCTCCCGTCCCAACAAACCTCCACATACAAAATTTCATGAATTTAACTCAAAGTGATCGAGAATTATTAAAGAAAATGTAATATTTTTTTTTAAATTTGACACCCTGTATATCCTAAACGAAGCGTTTTCAGACCTAAGTTCATAGGAAAATTTTTGCTTAAAATTGAACGTAGACTAATATACTGAAGTATGTACATCTCCTCCTGAAACACCCTGTATAAGTAGATAAAGACTTTCCACCTCTTTGCCCACAAGAGAGCAGACCTTGATCTGATAAACTGAAATGCATCTCAAGTAAAATTATTTCTGCTATTTATTTCAACATCAAATTACTAAACACTAATTAAAGTTTTATAACTAATGATATTGTGAAAAAACTACCCTGCGGACTAATGCTATGATCAGCATTGAATTACACTGGCAATATTTGGTAAACAGCTAAGATCGATCGTCAGTAGAACCATTAAACATACAATCAATTTCAAACTTACTTGTTAGAATATTGTTTCTACAGTATTTGTGACTTGTCACGACATTAGTCCGCAGAGTAGTTATTCCTAAACTTAAGCTTTATTTCACTTAGTGTGTTCATATTCTCAAAGCACTTGTAGATTAGCAGGTCGCTCTCTGTCAGTTTGACCGTATTGAAGGCCTAGGCATTGAGCGGCTGTAGTAACAGACTTTATATGTTATATCTCACCCATACTGATCTTGGTGGACCACCCTGTATGTCGTTGGTTGTGCGGCGAATTGTGTGACCGCTCACACCCATAATTCACGAATGATTTCGCACCCCGTTAAAATCTATATAAATCAATCGCCGCTTTCTAAAGTAATGAGCCGGATTTCGGGGCCGCAGCAGTAAATGTTTGTTCGTCGGACGCGAACTGATAAACCGGAGTATCTCGTGGAGGCGCCATGCGATCACAATACGAGATTATTCCGCCCGACGAATTACAATTGCCGATTTAATTAAACTAGTGTGTACCTACGCAGGGGCGTAATCGCCGAACGAAGTGGATTCCTACCGAGGTTGATTTCTACAGAAGCTCAGATTTCATTTTAAAATAAATTCAAATTTGGGCATTAGTAACTACATTAGTATGATTTGGTCGCACACAATAATTAACAGTGAGAGCATGATTTTGAAAAACAACTATATCTTTTGGCCATGGCGTCAGTTTAGATTTGACATTTCGAAAGAGAAGAAACTATGAGGCAGGAATCTTCGGACCGATATTTATATTTGATGTGTGTATATGGTGTTCTTGTGCATAATTTGAAATCACTTCACAATTTACATTGTTCTAAATTACAGGTCGTTTTCTCAATTTTTATGAATTTCTGTTGCTTCTCTGTAGTCTTGGTCTAAATATTATCACTCGTTGCAATTTTAGTGTTAAATGGATTGAGCAACTGCTCTGTTCCTCTCTGTAACTGTTCATTTATCTTTGTTGCCATTAGTTTAGTGCTGTTTGTGTTTCTGTAACCTAGTGATTACGTGTCTCTCTGTATTCAACGCAAATTTTGCCTCAAGTACACAGGATGTACATAAACATTAGTCTTTTAGAGAACATCTTTCTTGTGGTTTGTCTTTGTAGAAGCTGATGCTATCTTCCTAAAGTGTTATAGATGATATTAATACTAGATTTTTTTAAGAGGCATTTTACATTCTATCAGGTCCTCCTTATTATAGGTAGTTTTCCTTTAATTTTAGATATTCTACTGATGGTCTGCTCAATATTTATATTACATTTATTTGCTCTGAAATCTCCTCGGCTCCTCATCCAAGTGTCCTGGTTCGTAGACAATGATTGCTCAATGCACTAAAATATGTTTACTATACCTTGTTTTTGGGCCTTATGAACCTTATATGGTGCTTGATTCAGAGTTGGGATACCTGTTTATAGTTTAATTTCCTGTAAACGTCTTGCCATAGAGTGCTATCTGGTTTCATCTTGACAAGTATATCTAGAAGAGGAAGTGTTCCGTTTCTTTTTCAATTATGTAGCGAAACAAACGTCCAAATATTGATTGCCAGATTACTGCAGTCATTTAGCTAAAGATCTTTGAACTCATAAACCTTTTAGAAATTGTATAACGTTTTTTTTATTCAGCTTTAACGCTGTGGGTACGTTTTTAAAAAGCCTTTCGGGCATGTCTAGGAATGGAAATGCTAAAATGAAACGTGAATCTTGTGTCTAAGCATATTTTAAACAATTTTGTTAAATATACCAAATTTATTGCAAGTTGTCTTGCACTTTATAAATGACAAATGCTTTTGGAAAAAGTAACATACATATTGAACATGCATATTGGATATACTGATTAAAAAAAGTGGGAGTCCGTTGTACTACCCTTTCCTGCATAGGAATTTTTTGATCAAAATAACTTTCTTCCTTCTGTCTAAGTTTGCAAAAATTTTGAAATAGTTTATATTACGGACAATTTGTTGACTAATTCTAACATTAGGCTCAGCTTTATTTTAGTTATTTAATGCTTTAGGACATTTATTCTACTAACTGGAACCATTGCTCAAATGTATAAGCCTATATAATCTGATAAATAATTTCATATTCAAAAAGTAATCCCTGAATTTGACATGCTTGTACTTGTTATCACTTTGTTCTCATAGCTGGGACGGGTGACAATCGGATTTTTTCAATATAGACTTCAATTAAGCTTATCTGTTCGTCAATTAAGTGGAGATTTCTCTGTATTTGTTCAGGTTTATCGGAATTTTAAACATATACAAAAATATATGTTACGATAAGAAATCGCCGTGATATGTTAGATAATAAATAATATTTATTTTGGATAATTCCTCTGTAGTGACATTCTTCTATTAGAACATGGATTAACGCGGAAAAACACATATTCCTTTAATTTTGTTGAGATTAAAATGGATACAGTTGAAAACAGAAATATTCAGAGATTCAGTATAAGACAGCTAAATTATTTCGTAGTACTTTCTAAAGAGTTATATTTAGTTTTTTAAACAAGGTAAAAGAAAGCTATGACTTAGTAGAGATATCTTACAAATTGTGAAATATAATCACAGCCATGTATTGCAGGAGTAGACCAAAATATAAATAGTATGAACAATGACAGTAGTTAGATAAATGTCAAAAGAAGAGAACATTTCTCAATGTATTGTAAATCGCGTTTCACTTAGAATTGGATAATACCAATACATTTAGGATTTAGCCTTATGAACATAAGACCAAACAAAGATTTCATCAATGAAATACAACCGAACATCAACTTCACCATGGTAAATTCAAGAAAACAATATGGATGACATGGTAGACAACATCTTTTACAGAAAATCAATTAACTAGATTAAGTATTTGAATGCTGAAGCTCACCACACCATTTGCATTTTAGAATACTTGGACAAGGAACTACATCATCTACGATCAACTTTCAAAGAAAATGGATATACTAACGGAAATATTGAACAAGTCATCAATAGAACATCTAAGAATAAGGATAAGGAGATGGCTTTTAAGCATATCTCATATATATTTAATGGGATTCAGTTCTGGACTCCTGCTGGCTAGGCCATAGCAAAAATTCTAACTTTTATATTCTAGATGTGGCGCATTAATTTCTGGAAGTAGCACACTGTGGTTGAACTGCACCTTCAACTGTTTTTGAAAACTGTACCCTTCTTAACGATTGTTTGTTCAATATTCCTGTAACACTATGGTGTCGGTGGTTTTGTAGCTGAAGCCCTCAGATGCCGCTAAAGGCTAATCACTCAAACGGATCCAACCAAGGTACGTTCCGTATAATGAAATTACGCCGGAATTGTGTACATTTTAAAGTAAAGCGTTTCTAATTATATAGCTGAAAAGGCCCGCAGTGAACGTAAGACGAAACAAAACTATAGAGAACGTAATCAGAGACGGAGGCATATAGCTATTATGCAGTAACAATAACCACGAAGGAGGGCCTCTTTTCTGCCGCGAAGATTTGTCTACTTAAATTAGCCGCTTTAATTAAAATAGTTTAAGCAGAATGGGAAAACTGATGGAAACAAGCTCCAAGTGAAATGGCTTTATGTATTCCGACTGAGCCACTATCTTCTTAATTTCCGTCTTCAGCATGGGCGGCGTTGTCGCTGGTAGAGGGGGTGGTTGATTTATGGCCCTTGTAGTGGTTTAAATGCAAAATAAATAAATTAGAATACACTTGCCCTCAAAGGCGAATTAAAAA